TTCTGTTTTGTTTTATTCTTGGATCAGGCTTTAAAGGGTTAATGGAGCCGTGTCAGTAAAGAAATGCTCCAGTTTTTGAACACTAAAACTCAGAAATAAGTCAAATTTTAAGCCTTTTTTCCTGTAGATTTGTGGGTCAAACCGTGCAGGGCAGAAATTTGTGATGAGAAAACACAGAAAAAAAGCCAGCAGAGGTCAAACCACAAACGGGGCACGGCGGGATAGGGGGGGGTGGGGGGGGGGGGTCTTTGGTCTGTCTGAGGGAGGCAGCAGTTGTGCTTGTCACTCCTGGGGGGGGTTATTGTTAGAAACAAACGGTGGCCGTTCTTTAAAGGAGCCCGTCTCCCAAAAAACAGCGGCTTTGGTTCTTTTTCGGTTCTGGTTCTGGTCAGGCCGGGACTTTGAGTCCCCCACAAAGAGGGAGGGGGGGTTTCAGCCACAGCTGCCCCCAAAACGAGCTGCAGATGAGCTCTGATTGGTCCCGTAAAAGGTTCAAACTCTAGCTATAGAACCCCAAATGATGTTTCACACTCAAATAGAGTTGTTTTTGTCAATGTGTTTTCACAAAATAGTTTTAGTGCCTGAATTCAGCTGGATGCATCTCTGAAACCCAGAAAAATGGCTGAAATTTGGGGGGATTAAACAGGAGCAATCAGGGTTGAAACCCTGATTAGCTGGAAATGGGAAAACTCGAGAACAAAACTTACAGAAAAATGACAAAATGAATCTGCAAAACACACAAACTCATCAATAAAAAGCATAAAGCAACAATAAAGAGACATAAATGAACACAAGTAGGCAAAATCACGCCAGAAAACACACAGAACAACCAACAAAACATACAAAATGATTCAAAATGAAGCTAATTTTGCTAGAAAAAGGATCCAAGAAGGCTCCAAACTACACAGACCACGAAGAGACAAAAAATGATTCCAGAAACGCATGAAACGAGATGAAAAAGCTCCCAGAGAGCCGATCTAAATGTCAGAGTGAATTAAAGCTCCTCATGATGCCGGACGCTGACACAAAGTGTCCTCAGTCAACCCGGGAAAGCTAAACATGAAAAAAAGAGATGCTCAGAGGCCGTTTACAGAAAAGTTTCATCCAGAGAAAACTCTGTAGGATACGATAAACTGGATTCTGTTGGAGAAAATGTGGAACTGATAATGCAAATCACATACATATTTTGGCAATTCCCTAAATTAAATCAGTTTTGGAAAGACATTTTTGATGCCCTAAAAGTAATCTTCAAACAGGAAATCCCATTCAATATAGACATTGGCTTATTGGGAGTAACACCTACAACTATTACTACACGAGATGGAAAATATCTTTTTAATATATTATTAATAGCTGCTCTAAAATTAATAACAATCAGATGATT